GTATGAGTAGAATGAGTAGGAATGCACAGAAAAGATGGTCCTTTCAGGGAAGAAGGAACATGTCTGCAAGTGAACATTTCCTGTTGTACTTTGTCACAAATAGGTCTATTTGGGGAGTTCCTTGTCTCGGGGAAAAGTCCCTCATGACATCCAGATGAATAGACCCTTTGTGATTGGAGAAGGATCCGATTAGATGATTGGCTAACACACTGAGTCCCTGGAAGACAGGGAGTCTCTACATGGATCAAGCAGGTTATGCAGAACTCCCAAATGCAGAGATCTCCTGGCAGAGATCAGAGGAGTGCCCTACACTTTGTCTGTTTCTATAGAACACCACCTTCCTATTATCTGCAGGGACTGATACACACTCGCTTTCAGGTGGGACTACAACTCTTGGCAAGCAAGACACACCACTCTGATTTCTCTCATGTTGAGGCCCTGGGTTCTGAGGACTTTTAGGGGAGTCCCTCATCCCAACTTAAAAGTATCAGTGACTAGAGATATTGACAGTTGGGGTTAAGCACATGGAATGCCTGCACAGACTAACAAAAGAGGGAAGAGATCACTGGAGCAGGAGGTACAACCACCTTGTCCAAGCAGTCTAGGTCAGGGTAGTACACTGATGCTAGCCAGGCTTGAAGTGGTCTGAATTGCAACCTTGCATACTTCTCCGTGTAAGTCAGGGGTGGGCAAAAGGCCCTCCATGGGCCTGATCCAGCCTGCCAAGCAGGTGGATCCAGCCCACAGAGGCCCTGCTGATCCCCCACACTCCAGACAATCAGGGTCTGGGAATGGGGGAGCACGTGAAGAAGCCTTCTTTGCTCTGCCCCTGCCCTGAGAGCAGTGCATGGCACTTCAAAGCACCGTGTGCTCCTGGAAGGGCAGAAGGCAGCTTCACATGCTCCCCCTCCCCCAGGCCTTAATTCATCCTAATTGGCCTGGTGGTGGGGGAGCGCATTAAGTCTCCTCCCATGCCAGGGGCATGGGCACCTAGGAAGAATCTGGGGTGAGGGCAAAGACACTTCCTCACCCCCAGACCAATCCTGGTCTCGGGGTGGGGAACCCAGAAGTATATTGGCCCTGCACCTCTGACTTTATTCCCCATCCCTTCCCGTGCAGCCCAGGGCCACTTAAATTTCCAAAGTGGCCCCCGGCAAAAAATTATTGCCCACCCCTGATATTATGCACTGATGTAAGTGCATAATACCACATGCACCAGAAGTTTCAGGCAGATTCTTGCTGTGGTGATAGGCTCAATCAGAAAGAGCCTCAGAAAGCAACCTAATGTCTGGAGGCTGGATTCCAGTAAGTAAGTTTTGGCCTGGATTGAGCTGAGGACCATACCCACAAATTCTGGTATACCATCATCAGGTGCGCCCTCACAAAGGTTTCTTGGAGCCAGATCCATGCCTGGCAAACCCAGACCATGGGCTGATGACCAGACCAGGGTTGGAAAGGTGGCCTCCTCTTATAGCCCCTCCTCGATTTCTGCTATAGTCTTGTTTTTGCTGTGACTATTACAGCAGAGGTCAAGGTTGTCACTTGAACTGTTTCCTCATCTGAAGAAGTGGGTTGTGCCCATAAAAGTTCATACCACCATCTACATTTTTTGTTAGTCTCTGAGGTGCAACAAGACTACTAGTTATTTTCTAAGTTTTTTCAGTTACAGACTAACACAACTATCCCTCTGAAACTCCTCAACAGCGTTGACATATGTAGTCCCAGAAATTTCAGCATGTCCCTGGAGTCCTTCAAACTGTGCAGCTTGGTGTACATACATTCAGAAAGCAAGGATATGCCCTCAAATGGTAGGTGTTACGTTTTTGCACCTCATGAGGAAGGCATGAAGTCTGTAGCAAAGAACACCTCTGCCTCACTAAAGCTAAAGCCATGGTCCGATGCGACTGAGTTCACCACATCCAGAGCCACCTGCAGGGATGACTTTGATACCATCATTCCTTCCTCAACCAGTGCTGAGAACTCAACCCTGGATTCCAAGATAATGCTCTTTAAACTTCATCATTGTGTCGTATGAGTTAAAGTAGTATCTGCTAAGGACTGCCAGCTGGTTAGCAATACAAAGCTGGAACCCCCCTGTGGCGTAGATCTTCCTGCCAAAGTGGTCCAGCTTCTCTGCATCCACGCCCGCTGTCCCTAGAACCAACTCTGGAGAGGGATGTCTTTAGAGGAGGAAAGCAGCGTTTGCATACCACCCTTTTTGCCATAGGGTGCAAAGAGGCTAGAGTTTGTTACAGCACCTTGACAGATTCTCACATGGCACTGTTTGGGGGAAGAGCTACCCGAGGGGACCCAAAGGTACCAAAATGTTGACCGGGGCCTGGGAGATCTCTGAAGTTTTCTACAACTGAATGCCCAGGTTTTCCTCTACACTTCTCAATCCTTCTTGATGTGCCCTATGCTCATACTGAATGAGCACAATCGAGGCACCGGTAACTGCCTTGTCCAGAGAGGAGGAGGAACTGATACCTAGCTCTGATTCTTTTCTGCCCACTCCTGATAGGTTTTGTGATGCTGGTTCATGAGTAAGGAACTGGTCTCGATGCTTTGGCGCTGCCCCGTACTACTAGCATAGGAGGGAGTGAGAGGACTCTATGGTCTGATGATCCTGAGTATGATCTCTGAGACTGCGGAAAGCCCAGGGAATCCACAAAGAGCAACTGCATGAGGCCAGCCTGCAGGTAGGAACCCATGACTTATGCTCAATGGTCTGAATAGTACAGGCTCCTATCCGGGGTTTGGGAACCTGGTTCTGAATCAGACGCTGAGGATTTGCGCCCTGGGAACCAGAGATGCAGTACTGGACGGTATCAGCAAGTGGTACCAGGACAAAGGAGACCAATGCCATTGCATCATTTCTGGCTTTCCTTTCGACAGCACCTGGGGCCTCAGTGCTAAAACCAGCCTTCACCTCTAGTGCCAGCTCACATCTAGTCAACTATGGTGGAACCAGGAAGGACATCGGGTCCTGCACTGCCTGGAACAACTCTGGTGTCAATGAGCATACAAGCCCTGCTCTCCTCTGGCTCTCCCGTAGGGGAAGAGTCCCACAGCACTGGACTCCATGGCTCGCTCCCTGGGGCCAGAGTCAATGGTACTATTGCAGCAGCAACTGAGACCAGGTGGCCCGCCCCAAGTCTCACTCTTCTCTCCATGACTCTGATCCAAAGTTCACTTAAGTCAGTGGAAAAGGCCTCATTGACATCCGGATGTTTTGAATCAGGCTCTAGCAGGAGAGTTTTGTAGCCTAAGTTCCTCCAGTAAAACTCTCACTCCAAGTTAACTTCTGAGAGTGTAGGTTTCTCTCTTCAGGTATACTTCCCTGCAGGAGTCCTGACACTGCTTGGAGAAGGGCTTTTCTGCATCTTCTAAGATCTCTCTGGTGCTGAAAAAGAGAAGTGCTATGGAAAAGTGACAAAAGAAATAAGCAATATGGCAATTTGAGGACTGGACACAACACCAAAGGTTTCAGGGAGCCATCCAGTAGGCCACACTAAAGCATATGCCCATGATAAACAGAAATTGTTGGCATATTCATGATCTTTTTCTGCTTTGGTGGCTGGATGTTGCTCCTTTTTTACTGTTGCCTTGTACATTAATTATTATCACTAGATCATAGTGCAAAGTGGTATTGCTCCAGGTCAGTGTTAGTTAATGAACAACTTTATTTTTCCTATTTTTTTCCAATGCAAATAGTGAGATACATACTCTAAAAATGCAAAATAATTGAAAAATCATAGTCTGTTACTGTTTATTTCACAGAACTTAAGTTGAATGCATAAACAAAGGAAACATTTAAATTTTCTTTTCACATATTATATCTATGTGAGGAAAAAAATAATACACACGATTTACATTTTACAAGATATACAAAAATCAGATTATGAAATGATCACTTGGGAAGATAAAGTTTTTGAAATATTTCTCTCTTTAAACATTAGAGAAAAAGTGCTGATCTGCTAGAGCAATAGGTGCGTTAGCAAAGTTATCATACTGTTACAAGTCTAAGCTGTATTATGGAGAAAGAGTATATAAATGGCAGTGTTTCACGAGGAGAAATGTGACAAATGTCCATTGCTAGTGCATCTTTATAATATGCACAGCCAGAATCCCCCAACCAACAACAACTATGCTGGTACGCAGGAAGGTGTTGTCATCATCATCATCATTCTAGACAGACAAAGCTCATTTGTGGCTAGTAAGGGGTTCTGAGAGTGTCTAGCAGCCACCCTGTTGGAGCTCCACAGGCCTGCACCCCAATTATGGGTAGCCCCTGAGAGGATATGAAACGAGGGGAACTGCATATTTGGCTCTGTACGTTGCCTGAGATTGCTAAACTAGAATTATGCCACAGAAAGCATTTTAATGAGATTTATTGAAATACAGCATCATCAGCTATCCAAACACTTGTAGTGCAGTTTCCAGGACGATGTGACTATGTGAATTATTAACAGAAATAGACAAATGCTTTGCTGAGCAGTATGGAGAGACTGTGCGTTGATGGGAAACCTGACAATCACAAGGGCAATGCAGGTGTGGTGAAGAAGCACATTCTCAAAGACTTATTCACATTTGCTTTGTGTTTCATTTTCATTCTTTTAATTATACTAATTTGTTCCGTTTTCTAAGTAGTCAGCACTATATTTTTCATAAGAAATGCTCTTGCTAAAGTAGTTCTGGAATCTTACACAACTATAGATTGGCTATGAAATAAAGTAATTGCAACTGCTAGTAGGTAAAAAATATGCAGACACTGAAAAAGTGACTTTTACAGGATTTGTACAGAAGAAAATAGTTTTGTCTTAAACCTTCAGGTATCACAGTTACATAATTGTATAAAACAAGGCCCATTTTTAATGCATCACACTAAGCATTAGCATATTCATTTTGCTCAATGTTGACCACAAGATCCTTTGTGTCACTAGTTCCAGGAACTGCATCACCATTAAAGTACAAGTTGTTCTCAAAGCTGTCACGTGTTGACATGTGACTCTTTCTTTTCCTGTAAAAGAAATAGCCTGCCAGGCCAACTCCTGCTAGGACAAGGAGCACCACAATAACTACAATCCCACTTTTGCTGTGGCTAGTTTCAGATATCTTCTTTTCATTTTTCTCCTCTGCAAATGAACACAACAGATTTAGTAGAAACCACACACTTGGCATCTGATTACAGAATACAATCCTGTACTTAGAAGTAGTGGTATATTTTTATCACTGAATGCTTTATCATCCCCAGATAATTAGTGATTGGCAATGCAGAAGACAAGATCATAAACCCTATAAAACAGCATAATTTATAAACCTTAACAACAAATTTCAATCCAAATATAAGGAAGAACTGAGAATTTGGACATAAACAGAGTATTATGGATGTTTTCTTATCAAGTGATGGTTATTTACCATATATATGACATGAAATTAGAATACAAAATATGACCATCTGATATTTCCTATGCTTTATTTGGGCCTATTCTTCATTTATTTGAAACAAAGTAATCTTACCATTTTTGTGGGGGGCCTTCTCAGTTGTTTGCACTTCAACAACTATAAAACAGAAAAAAATCAGTTACACTGGGTCTTTAAAAATCTTCATAATACATTGAAAATTGTACATTAAAAAACACATACTGTGAGAGTGGCTACCTTTTTTTGCCTGTAAAAAACCACGGACTTTTATGATACAGAATAAATACAATATTGTTACCAGTAGAGGCACATGATAAATGAATCTAATGTAGTTACAAAACACGCAATGAACCTGAAATGATTCTGCTGTGAGCTCCATCGTGACAGACCCCTGCATCAGTCAGAGCTACAATATACATATAGGCCACACATCCAGAGTGTGTGGATATGGCAGTTCACTTCACAGAGCAGCTTGTAGGATTGTGGCCTACAAGCCTAATCCTGCATATGTAGAGCCATGAGCAGATACAGAATTTGTATCTGCATCCGCATAAGTATCTGCAAAAATGAGCCGCAGATATCCACACTGACATATTTGGAGGTGGTTGCCCATGGATATCTGCCAATCTGCAGGGTTCTGAGTATAAAATTTATACCCACATCTGCAAAAATGAGTTGCAGATATCCACATTCACATTCTTACATCTGCATTCACTTCTGCAGACATAAGATTACAAAAAGGTACAGCAATTACTATTCTTAAGAAATTATGGTAATGATTAAAACTGACAGTACATTTGCAAGATTGGGTCCTATGTCACGTTGTTACTAATAGATGTAGCATGCAAGTATTTTTTGCTTCTTTATCCAATAAAGTTCAACTGCATGCATACACACAATGGAAATATTTCCAGGGTGCTCAATAATTTGGGTAGAAATAGCATTAACATGGGCAATGGAAAAATATTAAGTTAAAGGTAGACTATAGAAATAGATCTCTATGTTTTATTGCCTCTTCAAGAAAAAGCAGGCTTTAATTCAACATGCTGACTGTTTTATATTAATTCTCTGTGCTGTGAAATGGGAAATTATTAGGGCTGTCAAACAATTAAAAAATTTAATTGTGATTAATCGTGTGCGCTTCCCCTTTGCAACACCGCAGTGGCGTTTCAACGGGGCAGTGCTGCATGGAGCCAAGGATCAGCTGGAATCCCCAGCTGACCCCGGACTCCATGCAGCACTGCCCCTTGGAAGCGCTGCAGCTACATTTCAAAGGGGAAGCACTTTAGGAGCCTGGGATCAGCTGGACACTCCAAATGATCCCTGGCTTCACTTATGCTGTCCCTTTGAAGTGCTGGAGTGGCACTTCAAAGGGGCAGCGCAGCATTAACACCTGCAATTAATGTATTAAAAAATTAATGTGTTAATCCTGTCCTGAGTTAATCGCAGGTCTTAACGCAGGTCAATTGACAGTCTTAGAAATTATCACTGCCTTGGAAAATTCCATTTATTCACTCAGCTTGGAATATTATTTATTTTTGCTAGGTAAATAAAATGCCATTTGTTTTCTATTGCTAATCGTCATGTCGCAATATGGTTGAGTAGATTTTGTGGATAGTATGCTACATTTTTGTGACAGTTATGCAAGGCCCTCTGTATAATACAAAAACATCTTTCATCAGCAGTCAGGAGAAAGTCAGATGATCGTGCATCAAGAGCAGCTTTCTATAAAAGGGATTTCCTTCATTTCATATAGAGGAACTAGGCACATTTCAAATACTGAATGTATTCTGCAACAGGTGCTGCATGTTTACAAGTAACATGTCATAGTGCAGTGTGGGAGAAATGCTCCTTCTATGTATTCTGCTCCTTTTGCACCTTTGGGAGATGGAATTAACCATCACAAATTTCAAATGATTCAGCTGAATTTGTCTGGTTGAAAATTTGAATTGAGCAGGAAGTGTTGCAAAAACAGGCATTCTTATGAAATGTCAATTGCTTCATGATTGACCTGTATCAAAAGTACAGCAAAGATGACACTGTTCATAGTGATTCTGCTTCATGCATCAAGCTTTCTAAACGCTGCCAGTGACACTGGGGTAGTGAAGTATATGTATGCATGAGTCCACAGGACAGGTTTGCTGTGGACTTGGTCCTGAGCTTGGTCCATTATTTTAAGGACTTTCTAAATTTTGTACACTTCAACCAATACTATTTGCTTTTACCTAATCAATTTTTCCTTCTGCAGTTTACTCATATTCTCCTAATATGTTCCAGGAAAAAATATCCGTAAAGTACAAAGAAGTGAAGATAATGAATATTCACTTGATATAAGGAGTAGCAAAGAGTGCTGAGTGGGTGCATGTGTATGTTTGAAAGAGAGAAAGACAAAAAAATAGCTTTAGGTTCAGATTTAAGCATTTATTCTGCAGGACAAAATTTTCAGGAATGGACCAGAGTGTGAGTGCAAAAATGCAATCCTAATATTGTCCTCCACAATTGCACACACAAATATTGTAACCATGTGGGCAGTTTTGGAAGTATAAGTACTAATTTCCTGATTTGCGTGCATGCATTTTTGGAAACAGAGGTTGGCATCTGTTTTTTGTCGACCTGGACACCTACTTGTTTGACAGTTTAACTAGGGTTGCCAGATGGTTGAAACAAAAATACCGAACCTTCCCTCCCCCCCAAAAAACAACCACCAGGAAAAAATTCTGTTGAAGGAAAAAAAGGGGGAGGGGGGAGAGACCAAAGTTGTTGAGAAAAAAAAGGACTCCAAGACTTATTAAGCAAAAAAAAATAAATTTAAATAAAACAGTATTAAAACAGCATGTCCCCTTTAAGAGTGAGTGCAGGGATAGGAACAGGGGAGTGGTTGAGCACTAAGACCCAGGGGAATCATTGCTTCCCCTTGGTCAGCAGCCATATTGTGCTGGCAGCCTTGCAAAACCAGGTAAGCATGGGGGCTGGGATTGGGAGTGTTGGGGGCCGCTGGGGGTGCGGAGACGCCGGGCGCTGAGTGATTGTAGGGTTGCTAGGTGCCCAGCATTTTCACCTCATGGCTGGGGGGGGAAAAAAAAAATCAGAAAATACCGGACATCTCAGGTGTCCAGTATTCTCTGAATTTTTTTACTGGACAGGAAGTGAAAATACCAGACTGTCCGGGTGAATACCGGACACCTGGCAACCCTACCTGTAACCCTTTTTTCCCCTAGTATTATGTGTTGTGGCAGTCAGGTCAGAGAACTGCTGCAGAGGGGGGGAAAGGCAGCTCAAAAAGGGTTAAAATCCTCCCTGTACTAGAAGCAGAGGGCTGCAGTACAATTAGATGCAGATAGGAGGGAGCTGGCTCAGGCAGATTGGGGCCAGCTGACTCCTCTGCTGGCTGGCTGAAGGCCTTTAAAAGCCTCAGCAAGTTGGAAGCTGGAGAAGAGTGATAAGACAGAAGGGAGGTGAAGGAGAGACAAGGAGCAAAAGGTTAGAGAGCGATTCATACTAGCAGTACAACAGAAACAGCCAGGGAGGGAGTCCAAGGAGGCATGGTGGGGCTCCCTACCACAGAGGCCTGCTGCAAACTCCAAACTCTGGGGCTGGGAATCTACATTACATCTTATTTAGAAAATACCGGACATTTACATTTTCTCAATTTGTTTGCCGAACAGAAAGCTCAAAACTGGACACCTGGCAACTGTAGAGGAAAGAGGGGCCCTTGACATAGAAATGTACTCTAAGCAGCACATATCTATTGAGAGTATGCATACTATAAACATTACTAATAACACAAATCCATAAATATAATACATTAAAATCATCACTTACTTTTTGGTTTTTTACAAACGTATCCTTTGTAGGAAGAGCAATAAATATTATTCCAGTATCCAGAATTTGCATACATTTCAACACAATGCTCATTTTGTTGACTTGAGGGTTCTCCTACATTCCAGTTGACAAAATCCACTGCACTGTTGTCTAGCCACAACCACTGTCCTAGTGTTAATTAGAAATAAACTGAGCATTAAACAACAGTTTGGTGGTTGTTCATTTTTGGCAATGGGGATAAACAATTCAAGGGCACTTCAGACAATGTTTCATACTTTTATAGTTTGTAAAAAATGCCAAAAACCCTGAGGTGTGTGCCCTTGAGAGGTGTGAGGGTCTCAAAGGAGGCATAGGGTAAGTATCTCATACATCCTCTATTTTACTGTTTTCTTTAGTTATTCCTATTGTGGTAATGACAGATGGAAAGACATAATTTAATTTCTCTGAAATGCCCTTATCTTCTGAGATTTGCAATTATTTGATTTTATGACTATTTACTCATCACCATCCGACATAACTTTTCTAATTTCCATTTTTCATTTTCCTTGCCATAGTTTATTGTTCCTGCCTACTGGCTTTAGCAGGACTGGATTTCCGTTTTCTGAACAATCATCTGTTTACTTGAATAAATCTCTCAAGCTTTGTTATTTAGCCATACTGAGAACTCTTGTTGGATTTTTTTTTTTTTTTTGGTCTTGCTGTTTCCTTTTTTGTTAGAGATACGTGTCTTTCCACTGTCCTTAAGTAATGTTTACACAACCTCCATGCTGAGTCTACAGTTTTCCTTACTTTTCACTTTACAAGGTTTTGTAACCAGCTTCCTCATTTCTTTGAAATTCACTTCTTGGCATCACTGTGCTAGATTTTCAAGCATTTATTTCCCTGAATATTTAAATTGAATTATTCACTATTTAGTGGCACAACCATAGTTAGTTCTTGAGTCAGTTCCTGTGGGTTTCTTAAGACTAAAGCAAGAATAGCCTCCTTCTCTATGCTCTAGACCAGGGCTATTCAATCTCGTAAGCCCTGGGGGCCACAATGATACTCTCGGCACATGCTGAGGGCTACAACTTACGTGTGGTTGCATATACATGCAAATATATATACAAATATATGCAAACAGCTTCTTTCCCACAATGCCCTGGCGCTTCTGGCACCTCTTCCCTGGGGGCTAGAAACACCAACACCCTGTACCCATCTGTTCCAACCAGCCCAACGCTTGCATCTTTCAATGCTCACCCTGCCTGTGATACACCTCACCGTTGTGAAGCCTGTTCCCAGTGGAGGCCATGTTCAAAGCATCCCATCCGCGGGCCATGTGTTGACCCCTGCATAAACCCAAACCACACCATGGGCCACAAACAAATGGGCTGCAGGCCACATGCAGCCCACAGGCCACGTGCTGAGTAGCTCTGCTCTATACTAAAGTGTTTTAAGAAGCAATTACTTATTTAAGATGTCAAACAATTATTTCTATAAACCTTTTCTTTTCATGACTGACCACTGTATTACACTTCTTATTATGATTTTTCAAAATGAAATTCTTTTTTCATATTAAAATTAAAGGTCAAAAGCAAAACAAAATGTATCGGTCATTACTTTTCTGGACCTTATCTTTATGAGCTCATTCTTTCCCTCCACAATTAAGCTGTAATTCTTGCCTTATCCTTTTCTGGATAAAAACACTCTTTTCAATTACAGATATAACAAGCATCTGTCTTTGTCTGAGTTGAGTACTCCTCAGATTTCAGTTGCCCCCTACTTCCCACTTAAAATAATCTCTACAAAACTTCATCCATCTTCTGTGCTAGCTGTGTAGTGTTCTGCTTTGCATCAGGTAGAGTCTGTGCATTCTATATAGGCTTTCCCTTCCTCAGAATGTTCTCCAATGTCTCATGCACTTGAACATCTGGTTACACCATCTCGTCAACTGCATAGTGAGACTCTGACACTTGTCCTGTTCAGCTGTCTCTGCTCCTGGAACTGCAAGTATTTCAGAGACAGCCTCTCAAAGGTCTTCAACTTAGATCTTTCTCCTAGTCATCTAAATTTAGCTACCAGGATTTGTATTACCCAGCACCCTTGGGCTATGTCTATGTTGCGCATTCTCACGCAAGAACATATGCAAATGAGGTGCGGCAATGAATATTGCTGCTCCTCATTTGCATACCTAATGAGCTGCCATTTTGTGCAAGGGACTTTTGCGCAAGAAGGAGCAGTCTACACTGCTCCTTCTTACACAAAACCCCCACTTGCGCAAGAGCCGTTCTGCTGCTTATTTTCAGTCAGAATGGCTTTTGTGCAAGAAGGGGGTTTTGCACAATAAGGAGCAGTATAGACTGCTCCTTCTTGCGCAAAAGTCCCTTGCACAAAATGGCAGCTCATTAGGTATGCAAATGAGGTGCCACAATATTCATCATCATACCTCATTTGCATATCTCTTTGCGCAAGAATGCACAATGTACACATAGCCTTCATCATGAGTACCAATGTGTACCATGACTATTGGGTCCCATGCAGCCCTCAGAAGAAGTCTGTCCTGATGTATCATGAAATTTGCCATCTTTGAGTCTGTGAAGCATATACTTAGACAATCCTCACACACTCAGCTAGAGTAACATTAGTGTGTTTCTGATGAGAGGAGATTCTATCACTATAGCCATGTCTAGAAATTAGAAATCGTCCTGACTTCCAGAGATACTTTTTTGTAATGTCTATGGAATAATAAGTTTCCTCTACCTTCATTGGAAAATAGTCACAAGTAAAGGAGTCTGTCTTTTCCATACTTGGTGTTTTCCTCCTATCATGAGACTACCTTATGCAACTGGGGGATCAGGACAGCCAGCTAGATGTATACCTGTTACCTCTATAAGTAATTTAATCTCTTTGTACTCCTGTGATTCATCTGATATTCATCTGACGAAGTGGGTTTCATCTGATGAAAGTTCATGATTCTATATATTTTTGTTAGGCTCGAAGGTGCCACAGGACTACTTGTTGTTTCCTCTGGTTCAGTAACTCTGGCCCCAAGATGATGCATTTCTGCACAGAGGGACACAAGCTGCTTGAATCAGATGTATCCTCACCCCAAGAATCATATTTTATACTTTCTGAAGTAAAAAGGGTAGGAACCCTCCTGATGGATTTGCTTTTGGTCTTCAACTGTCACAATTAAACCAGAGTTTTGACTCGAGGGAGATACTAGATTGAGCTACCTTTTAATTTAAAGATAAAGTTAGAGGCCAGTGATTAGACATACATTAATTTAATGGATTCTTTTTATATTAGTTCATGAACAGCTGAGGCAACTTACTTGCACTGGTGCTCACCTCTCACACAGTCCAAAGAGCCCTATGTTCATTCAGTCAGTGCCTAGTTGTGCCCAGAGTCCCAGCAAGGACCCTCACTACTTATTTTTATGTATATCTTACCTATGATGTGACTTTTCCCTCTAACCACTTTATTATAGTCAACCAACTGGTCATATATATGACCTTCATTCCTTCAACAGTAGATAAATATATAAAATGTCTCCTTTCCTGTTCTATCTGTTTATGTCTTACATCAAAGCACAGTGTGAAACACTTGACAATCAGTGTATCTTTATGACATATACCATCTAAGAATAAGTATTACAGGAAAAAATGCTCACCATCCACGTTTCTGTACATCCCTGTCCAAAACGTTGATGATTTTTCTTCAAGTGGCTCAATGTTGTGTGCTAGAAAGTTGGCTTCAGCCAAATCTTCTACTGAAACCAGAGAGGCACCTAACAAAACATCAGAAAATAAACATGGAGACGAATTTCCAATGGAATACATTCTTCCGGTTGAGTATGACTTGCTTTTTCAAATGTTTGGAATTTTAAATCACTTACCATGTTGACTCATAATTTGCCACTGACTTTTGTGCCCAACCTCCAGTCAAAACAATGGGAATCACTGCAGGATATGATCTTTTAATTTCTGTCTTCAGTGTAAATGTTCCCTTCCCACTGCAGGAGCTACACCAATTATATACTTCATAATGGTATATGTGCACTGTTTTAATTTTTAAGATGTTTGCAATTTACATTTGTGAATCTATAATTTTTTCTAACTATTCAGCTTAATTTCTTCACTCTTGATCTTTGTTATCAGATACATCATGACTAGAAAGATAATTTCACCTAAAATCCACAAATGTCTAAAACTCTGTATTCTGGTAGGGTAAATAGAAAACGAAAGAGGATCATCCATCACAAGAAATTTGAGCATTTGAAAATGGAAGGCAGCTTGGGTGAAAAAGAACATGAAATCATAGAGTTCGTGATTCTAAGGAATGGTAGAAGGGGAGAGCAGCAAAATAGAGACAATGGATTTCAGGAAGGCAGATTTTGGAAAACTCAGAGAGCTGGTAGGTAAGGTCCTTTGGGAAGCATGGCTAGGAGGCAAAAAAACTGAAACCAGTTGGCAGTTTTTCAAAGGGACAGTATTAAGAGCCCAAAAGCATGCTATTCTACTGTGTCGGAAAGATAGAAACTATGGCAAAAGACCACCTTGGCTTAACCAGGAGATCTTGCATGATCTAAAAATAAAAAGGAGTCATATAAAAAGTGGAAACTAGAACAAATTACAAAGGATGAAAATAAGGAAACAATACAGGTATGCAGGGGTAAGATTAGAAAGTCAAAGGCACAAAATGAGCTCAAACTAGCTACAGAAATAAAGGGAAACAAGAAGATTTCTATAACTATATTAGAAGACCAAGGACAGTGTAGGCTCATTGCTCAGTGCAGAGGGAGAAACAGTAATAGGAAACTTACAAGTGGCAGAGGTGCTTAATCACTTTTTTGTTTCAGTCTTCACCACGAAGTGTGATGATGAAGGGATGTCTAACGTAGTGAATGCTAGTGTGAATGGGGTGGGTTTAAAAGATAAAATAAAAAAGTTAAAAATCACTTTGAAAAGTTAGATGTCTGAAAGTCACCAAGAGTAGATGAAATGCATCCTAGAATACTAAAGGAGCTGATTGAGGAGGTATCTGAGCCATTAGCTATCATCTCTGAAAAATCATGGAAGTCAGGAGAGATTCCAGAACACAGGAAAATGGCAAATTTAGTGCCCAGCTATAAAAAGGAAAATAAGAACAACCCAGGAAACAGACCACTCAGTTTAACTTCTGTGCCAGGAAAGATAATGGAGCAACTAATTAAGGAATTCATCTGCAAACACCTGGGAGATAAGGTGATAGGTAACAACCAGCATGGATTTGTAATGAACAAATCATGCCAAACCACTCTGAAAGCTTTCTCTGATAGGATAATGAGTCTTGTGGATAAAGGAGAAGTGATGCATATGGTATACCTAGACTTTGGTAAGGCATTTGATATGGTCTTGCATTATTTTCTTATCAATAAACTAGGTAAATACAACTTAGACAGGGCTAACTGCCCGGATAACCGTTCTCAGAGGGTAGTTATTAATGGCTCACAAATCTGTTGGAAGGGCTTAACAAGTGGGGTTCCACAGGACTCTGTTTTTGGGACCTGTTCTGTTCAATATCTTCATCACAGTTTTAGATATTGGCATAGAGAGTACGCTTATTGAGTTTGCAGATGATACGAAGCTGGGAGGGATTGCAACTGCTTTGGAGGATAGGATCATAATTCAAAATGATCTGGACAAACTAGAGAAATGGTCTGAGGTAAATAGGATTAAGTTTAATAAGGACAAATGCAAAGTACTCTACTTAGGAAGGAACAATCAGTATCACACATACAGAATGGGAAGCAACTGTTTAGGGAGGAGTACTGCAGAAATAAATCTAGGGGTCATAGCAGACCACAAGCTAAATATGAGTCAACTGTGTGATTCTGTTTAAAAAAAAAAAGCAAACATGATTCTGGGATGCATTAACAGCAGTGTTGTGAGCAAGACACGAGAAATCATTCTTCTGCTCTACTCTGTGCTGATTATGCCTCAGTTGGAGTATTGTGTCCAATTCTGGACACCACATTTCAAGAAAGATGTGGAGAAATAAGAGCAAATCCAGAGAAGAGCAACAAGAATGATTAAAGGTTTAGAGAACATGACCTGCAAAGGAAGATTAAAAGAACTGGGCTTGTTTAGTTTGGAAAGAAGACTGAGAGGGGACATGATAGCGGTTTTCAGGTACCCGGTATCTAAAAGGGTGTCAGAAAGAGGAGGGAGAAAAATTGTTCTCCTTAGCCTCTGAGGACGCGACAAGAAGAAATGGGCTTAAACTGCAGCACGGGAAGTTTAGGTTGGATATTAGGAAAAACTTCCTAACTGTCCAGGTGGTTAAACACTGGAATAAGTTAGACAGACATCTATCTGGGATGGTCTAGATGGTAGTGGGTCCTGCCATGAGGGCAGAGGACTGGAATCGATGACCCCTTAAGGTCCCTTCCAGTTCTAGTGTCCTAAGATTCTATTGTTCTAAGATTCTAGGAAATGTTACCACTGGACCAGTCAGCAGCCTATCACTCTACTGCCTGATGGTCAGACCTTGCTGTGGTGCAAGATTGGGAAAGCTGTTAATTTATCCCCTCCCTTAAAGATACCTAGAATATGATGACTGATTGGGACAGTAGCTGAAGAGGGATCTGATTTACTACCGAGAATTCTTTCACAGGTATGTGCAGGTCAGACTAGATAATTACAATAGTCCCTTCTGATTTAAAAGTTTCTGAGTCTATATTGTGGTAGCTTGATGTGCATGAGGGACAGCTAAAGTGAAATATTTTGCAAAAAGCCAAAATTTTGCAAAAGTTCTTTCAGGAAATATTTCACTTAGCTTGATGTGCATGAGGGCGAGCTGAAGTGAAATATTTCCTGAAAGAACGTTTGCAAAATTTTGGCTTTTTGCAAAATATTTAACTTTAGCTTGATGTGCATGAGGGACAGCTAAAGTTAAATATTTTGCAAAAAGCCAAAATTTTGCAAACGTTCTTTCAGGAAATATTTCACTTCAGCTCGCCCTCATGCACATCAAGCTAAGTGAAATATTTCCTGAAAGAACTTTTGCAAAATTTTGGCTTTTTGCAAAATATTTCACTTTAGCTGTCCCTCATGCACATCAAGCTACCGCAATATAGACTCAGAAACTTTAAAGTCAGAAGGGACTATTGTGATAGTAATCTGGTCAGTGGATCAGATTATTCCTGTGAGAGTATAAATTATTAAACTTTTTAAAAGACCCCGATTATTTCTATAGAGTCTGTGAAATTTTTAAGAGCATAAGAATTATCTGTGATGTGGGTTTACAATAAATTTTTCTTTGGCTTTGCACTGCAAATTAGGGACAGTGAAGGACAAGCACAGCAGCATAGGCACAAAAGACTAGAAAGTCAACAAAAAGAATGAAGACTGCCAAAACCTGAATATTTTGGAATATGTGCACTGCTGCAAACATATTTATCAAACTGATAGCAGCTGGCATTAGAAAGGCTCCTCAGTAATTCTGAGTGTTTCTTGTGTGGATTCAGGTGCTTCCTGGTGTTAGATATATAGTATTAGATTAAAAATCTGCAACTTCCTAAAAATTCTTGTGCTGTTAGTTCACAAAAAATGATTCAACTAGAAATTCTCAGTAAAGTTTGCTGTAAGTTGCGGAGATTGACATTACTTTGGTGAATTCTGTCCATGGGATTTTCCAAGTTTATTATTTTTGTAGTCAAATATTAGAATTCTATCACTTCCCTTCTCCAGCTTCCTCATTTCCCACCATTCAGCAATACTGAGAGTACAATTCATATACCACTACAAAACAGTACTCTGTCTTGTTTCTCCCCCTTTTGAAAGGAGTCCAAAGGGTTCTTCATTGTGATTTTCTGTTGGATTCATGAGTTTTCTATAAATTTTGTGTGGAGGCCAATTCTGTAGAACCCTCCTTCTCACTGCATCAACTTTCTATTTCCTTCACCTCTGAGACCAAGCAACACACAGCAGTGACAATTCAACATAATACACCAAAGGCTCAATTCCTAATAAAACAAGAGTCCCCTATTACATGGATACCAACTACCACTTAAGTGTAGTTGGTCAATCATATGCAAACCTGAAGCCTCAGAATATACGCATCATCCTATGCAAGGCCATTGATGAAGAAGAGCAAAATGGGCAATTGCCCCCAAAGCCCGGTGATTTAAAAAGGCCCAGGGCTCTTTAATTCTATGCCAGAGCCATGTGTGGCATGGTCTGGGTTGCCATGGGAGGCACAACATAGTCTGGGTGGTGATGAGGGTTGGCTGCCTGTAGACCTGCCCCTTCCAGGAGGGCTGGATCCACGTCCTCTCCTGCGTTGCCCAGGCTCAGCAAAATCTGTTGCTAGTCCAGCTCCTATGTATGATATGGTAGCATAATTATAATTTTAGTAAGTGTTTTCTGAACCTTTATATAACCCACCTATGTCACAGCATTTGTTAAATGTATATGTTTTTATATGTGGGGATACAGATTTTGCAATATTTCTCTCTGCCCCTTTGGTGCTCCACGTTCTTGATCCCTCCCTACACATACAGTAATAATAGCATAAATGAAATATTGTATTCAACTTTACTTAATGGGATTTCTGCTGCTGCATCTTTTCATACATTTCTTTGAAGTTTACATCATACTGGTCAAATTCAGCTTCATGCACCCTTCAGGTTGTCTTCTGTAAGTCTTGAGCGCAAATTACCTTTGATGTGATTCAAATGAGAGAAAGCCTTTGCACACATACAGGTAGAGCCAAACATTGAAAATAAGGCCAAGCTGACATTCTGCA